AATGAGAAGGATTAAGAATCATGGGAAAGCAGGGAGGGTAGGTGATGAGTTCAATCTGAATAGTGAAAGCTAATCATCTTCTGCATAGGACGAGGGCATACAGCACTCTGATAGAACTATAGTATACTGTATTTTACACCAGCTCACACTAACAAACCTTATATAGACCTTATCTACTCCTAAGAGAAGTGGAGAGTATGATTGAGATAAACTCAAATACACACATTACAATGATTATCTCATTGTGTGAGTAGAAATACTTTTTTTCTTTTAGATTTACACTCTTGAAATATAAAGACATTGCCCTGATTTGACTATATATGTAATATATCAAATATAATAACTGTATTCTTGGGAGCCTTTTCAGTCAAGACATTCATTTATTCTAAATTGCATAAATATATTGGAAAAAAATAATCAACAGATTCATATTTAGTAAAAAATAAACGTTAGTGGCAGCCCTGCATTATACTGCAATAAAAATGTCAACACCTGTGAATAATACACAAGTTAATAGATTTGTTTGTCAAACAGAGTCCATAACAAATTGACAGTTCAAGCTTATATTCGCACATTTGTGGTAAATTTGACTCCAGCTTTCAGAGCCGATACCCATATGCAGTGCCAACAAATGTAAACAGCAACATAAAGTTATTATATTCAGGATTAATCCACATACACACAAACGAGAAGCAAAACAAACAAACATACAGTGACTATATATACACAGTGGATAAATTATGTACTGGGTGCCCATCTGATTGGCAACTCTACAGGAGTGCCAAAGTGTTATGGCAGCGCAAAGAAGGCTGAAATTAATAGTGTATGCATTGTGCAATAAATTATATATACAGGTTAGCTACAGAACAGCACCCATTGTGTCGAACTGCCAGGACACCCAGCCTTTAAAAAAAAAAAAAAAACACTTCAGCTGGGCAGATGTTTGTCAATACAGGTGCTTGAAGCTGAATTTGAAGGGCAGCCTTGTGCTCATTAAGCATTATGGATGTACAGTATCACATGAATGTGTTGCCTTTTGTTAGCGCCTTCATGAATTTGGCTCATTGGACAGACTTCATGTCAACTGGAGCAATCCTACCTGCCAAACAATATTTCTAAACCTTCAGAAATAAAAAGGTTAAGTGTAGCTTTTCAAGGATAACACCCATATAATTATACAGACGTGTGAATCAATAAAAGCATGTGAAGGCGAGATTGAAAAATCTTTCACGGGTCAGCTTGTTTGAAAAAAAAAATTTAAAAAAAAAAAAAAAAAAAAGACGGCATGGGAGGAAAGTAGTTCATGAAATAGAGTAGCGTGTCTGATTTTGAAGCTGCCGGTATGTACGTATGTTGACAGGTAGATTGTGAATTCAGATGCTCTTGTGTTCATAAATACTATATGTGCATGAGACTGTACTTTCATTTACTGCATGCATGTGTGTGCACGTGACTGTGACGGCTCTCACAACTCCAATGTGACCTCAGTAGCTTTGTGGCTCTAAGCAAGACGAACTGTCTCGACTTGTGGCTGCTACACACTTACAGCTAAATGTCAGCTTGTGTGTGAATACTGTAAAGTGCATATATATATATATATATATATTATGCTAAATGTGCGCCTGAGCACATATGCATGTGACAATGTGTTTGTGAGAATAAATAAAGCTGACAACAACACCAATCCCCACATGGCTCAGCAACTGGTAATCACATTAAGGAACAGCTGCATTCAGCAGTCAGTTCTGGTACTAGCGAGCTAAATATCTCAAACTCAAACTCAATGCAAACTGGCAATCTGCATTCACACAAAAGTGAGAGTATGTAAATGTGTCATTTATAATGCACAAGACAGCCTCTGAGAAGGCTGCAAAAGGCAAATTTGGGAAGTCGTACTTCTCAGTTTGTATTTGCGGAAAAATATATAAAAAATGTCTGCGAGCACAAATTAATTCAAGTTTGCAACTTTACTGCATCAGTTGGAGTACTGACTTAAAATGTAGATCATGACTATTAACAATTGTATAAATTCCGCACTTGCAAGTCCGATGTATGTTTGAAGTATTTGAGAAACATGGCTCTATTCTGGTGAAACACAAGCACATGCTGCAGGGGGTCAGGATCAGGAAGGAAGGCCCGAGTCGTTCCATTCCGCCTTGCTGCACCAAAGGAAAAGGGTTTCAACTCTGAAAACCAGAGAGATAGGAGGAAATCTAGCCGGTAGGACCTGTGTTTGTATTTTAGTCGGTCTGTACCGGTCTTTGTACTTTTAAAGAGCATGCTGGAACAGGATGACCACATGTACTGTATGTCACAAAGGTCTAGCTATCCTCGTCTATAACGGCCATTTCATTTGTCATGTCTCAGTCTCCCACCGCACTGTTTGCCCATCCAAAATAATCCCAATTGATTATAATGTTTTTATATTTTTACCCAGGGTATTTCTAAAAGCTCTGCGCGCATGCATGCACACACACGCACACACACAATCCTATTATACATAAACAACCTAGGCATGCTGAAAATTATTACAGAGGGCATCACAATATAAGCCTTGCCGACACATTTTACAACCTGAATTTATGAGTTGCAACCTCTTATACTGGGGAGAAAGGACTTGAAAAGGTGGGAGGCTTAACAAGGCACCACTTGGCTCTTGTACTAAAGTGGACTCAGTGTTTGTACACTCACCTCTATATATACGTATATATATATATATATATTTTTTTTTTTGTTTTTGTTTTTATTGCATCTCTCCTGCATCGAGAGCACACTTGCCAATTTGGAGCTAATAAGCAAATGGTAAATCTCAGGAAGTTCAGGTACGGGATTGCTGAAAAGGTGTGACAGGCTGTTACGGGTCATTTCAGATGCAGTGACCCTTGGCACCTGAATGCATCTTGTTTTTTCACCTGTTATCCACCAGCTTGTGCTGTGCTGTGGTAAAGGCTTGGAGGGTGGGCATGGGATGGCAGCTGTCACCCGAAAAGGTGTTGCTTTGCCACTGTAGCTATCCATTATGAAAAAAATGATGTCCCTCTTTTCCACACTTCTTTTTCCTCTTTGTGACATTTGTATCTGTTTTCATGTTAAGTTGACAGTGATGAGTTAAACTGTTTGCCTTTCCATCTCATTGAGTTTCAGTCTATCAGCTTGTCAGTCACAGAAGCGCCATTCAGTACCCAGCAAAGCGTTGAAGAAAACATATGCACAGTCTGATGCTCTCAGCCAGTAAGCTGACTCTGCACCACAACAATGTTGAAAGGGACAACAAATAGAAGGTCATACTTATAACTCCTTGAGGTGAGGATTGATTTAGCAGTTTGTCAGTATATGTACTGTAACTCCAAAACCCCTGATCTTCAGGCTCCTCGGTTACTTTGATCCATATTTTAGACGGTGGGAAAGATAGTGGATCTGGCTTTAGGACAATCTGGTACTGTCTGCCTGAAAGGGACTTGAAAAGTCGGGATAATAGCTCCAGAAACGGATGATTCATGCTGCAGCCCCATAAAAATAAATCTTAAAAGCAATCCTGAAATGAAAAGATAGAGGAAAAAGTGTGTAAATGTAAATGAGTTTAAGATGCAAAAAAGGAAAGAAATGTATCAACACAATCCCTTTAGCTTGGACGTGAAAGGTTGGATTGGAATTAAATAACATTTGTAGCTTCTGAGCTAAATCTGTCGAAATCTGAAACCCTTGCTGATATCACCTACTGAGCTGCAACTCCCATCCCATCTAGAGGAGCTGCCCAAAACGGCTAAGCTGCAAGTAAAACAAAAATACCCCATTTAGAAGGTGCTACCCCTCGGTGTGTGTGTTTTTTAATTTGGTTCCAATGGGTTCACATAATGAAAGCAGCATTATCAAACCTAACACTAAATTCGCAAATGAATGCCAATCCCTTGCACAAGCGGTGGACATAGCCATCAGTCAGCGTGGCACTGATTTTGATGTTTGTGTTACTACCTCTTATGCATGTAATGTGTCATTTATTTTCCGGTTGAGCCCCTAAATTATACATTAACTTTATTTTACTACATCATTTGTGACAATGGAAGCGTCTTCTCTCAAAAATACAATATCAACACATATGATAAAGAAGACTTCAATATTAATGCTGCCACTGTAGGCAACATGTAACCATCCCCCCCCCCCCCCGGACTAAGTGCGTCAAAGAATCAAAGAGTGTGGCTAGGACTACGCAACAGTATCAACAGATTATACTCGAAGGTGGGCTGTAAAGAACCACTCTTTATTTGACCTTTGGCTGTTTTTGCTTGGTTTTAAAAAAGCCTTGAACATGACCTGCATCTGATATATGAGGTGCATTTACATACATAGTCAAAACAGTTAAGTGTGCAGAAAACAACCCTGTTTTCATTGCTACCCAATGACATTGTGCTGACAAAGGAAATTGATATGGTTAAACAAAATCTCTTTGGTAATGTTATTGTGGTTTTGTTTAAACGTTGATTTACTGTAGGCTTTGACAGTATTAAACCAAGAACATTATCTACGTTTCCTTTAAAATGAATAAAGACATCATTTCTGGGAGACAGGTTTGGCAGAAAATTACTAAATTACAGTAGCGTGTGCAAAATGGGGGGGGAGGGGGAGATAAAATTTGGAAATTCATCTTGCTTCAGCTAAAGCCCAGCCAGCCCAACTTCATTACGGTGACCTTCAAGCAATGAGAACCAAAGGATCACTTCACCAGCTGCTGCTGAAGCTCATCTCAACTAGACAGGAGAGGCATGGCTGGCTGTGGCGGGATAAACCCCCATTGCATGGCTGTTTGCTCTGCGTCCCTTCCCATGTGTCAACACTAGCTGCACTTTCATCCTCTGCCACACTTCTCAGAATAAACTATTTAAAATTGCTCCTAATCATTAACTGAGAGAAATTACCACACTCTCCACTGAACTCCGGCCGTGTTCCCTGGGAAGATGGCTTAAGTACAAGAGACAGCCTCTCTCCACACAGGCGTCACGCACCTCTTTTTCGGTTCGGGAAACTGGTGGGCACATCCACACACTTGTCTGCACAGCCCGAGTTCGACTTCAGTGTGTACACCCCATTAAGCAGCAACTCCTCTTCTTGAGTGCACATGAGCAGAAATCCTGTGAAAAAAAGTCGTGACATTTGGACGAAGGATTCACTGACATCGAAAAGGAGAGAGCTAAGGCGGGCATCATGTCATTTCTTTTGAGCAGCGAGACGGTTCACAGAGCACGATCAATATCTGGGATTAGAGAATAGCTATATACTGGGATATTGATTTTAATGTAGGTATATCAAGATGGAAAGTTGAATTCAGATATGCATGTTGATAATAGGATTAGGAAAATGTGCAAAAGGCATGTTGTCACTTTTTAAGTATGGGTTGACTGTGTTTACTGGAGTTATCTATAAAAAATATGAATCTTTAATACGAATTCTAAAATCTGGTTACATGTATGTAGAGTAAGATGTCAAATGAATTATGCAGTGTGTTGCAAAAGCAGAGCTAGCCCAATGGCTAATTAACGACTGCCTAAGTTATGTTTCTTTATTTTCAGATATTTATTTTCTTCTTTTTTTAAAAATATATTTTTAGTTCGGTTAAAACAAGTAAAAATTGACGTCATGGTAATCAGCATCTTCCTGGGGGAGCAGGGGTTACAATCTGGGTGGAAATTGGTTCATGCGGGGTTTTTTGCAGTGAAATCTGAAGCAAAATGTATTAACTGAAAATTATTTAAAATGATTCGTTTAAATATGCATAGAGGATTAATTAGAGAAGAAATGTGGTCAGCTGGGTCGATAGACATCCGCATGACCCTGTTTGTATTTTGTTTCTGTCTCTAGGGCTTTCACACACCAAACACATACAAAACTAGAGTCACACGCTGCCCTGACTTGGCAGTAGATCAGCTATGGCCTGTTGTAGAGAAGCCCTGGGGCTTCAGACCCACAGCTGCAATCACTGTGTTTTGTCTACAGTGAAGATTGAGGACTGCTGAAAGTGGAGCGGAGCACAGAATGAATTCGAGCACCATCTAACACACACACACACACACACACACACACACACACACACACACACACACACACACAAGACAGAAAGAAGTACTTTCATGTGTTACTTCAAAGCGTCAATTAAACAGGAGAAAGGCTAGATAATAACCATAAGGTTATCCACATCGTAATGAGCCAAAGTATTCGTTGTGACACATCAAAAAACTTCCACAGCTTCTAGTCAGCACATGGAAATACATTAACACTACAGCAGGGAATTGCAAGCAGAGAGACGCATGCAAATAAGGGAGTACGTTTTTAAAGACAAATCTTCATTTTTAACAAAACCACAATGTGTTGTGACTTCAAAGTTTTTCGGTAAAGGCGGCTTGACTAAAACAATGATGGTTCCATTACATTATGTAGCCATAGTTTTACAAACACGGGCATCACCTTCTAAAGGGGCTCAATATTTCACAGAAGATTGGTATCCATGTTTGAGGGCAGAGCAGTTATTTTATGCCAAAGAGACGTTATGTGCAAACACAAGAAGCACAACATCAGTCAGCCCGCACCATTAACACAATTCATATTGTTTTCACAGAATATGCAATCAATTAACACAATTGTAAAATGCATACATTCTCTTTACATAAACGCTTACCCAGTGCTTGCACACAGCGTGCTAGAAATAAAAGTCCTAATGAACATCCAGTTTAGTATAGAGCTTCCATTTCTGCAACAGCAGCACCTAAAAAACTGTATTGAAACAGCAGATATCATTTTTTGAACGAGTCGGTCATTGAAACATTGAGAAATAGCTGATTTGCTGTAAGTTGTGTAAAATAAACTGCCAGCTGGTGGATGAGGCATGTCAAGAGTTCCTCTGTGCACAGCGAGAGATGAGATAAAATGTGACGTGGACGAGAACATCGTATAAATTAGAACCGGACTGTTAATGTTTCCGTTTTTTCCCCCTCTGTGCACTTTTTTACTGTACTTGTGTATTTCATTTTTACACATTAGAATGTATATTGTATATTCGATTTTTCTTAATAACTGACCACATTTTCATGTTGCTGATTCAGCTTTTTTTTGCAATTCTTCACTTACTATTTTTTCTTCTGTACATTCCCTTTTAGATAGGAATTCACACAAACACTGAAGCAAAAAATAAATGTAGATTATTTTACAGTAAAAAGAAATTGAATTGTATGAAATAATGGTTTTAATAATGTCTATTGTATGGCGGTAGAACTGAAACTTGAAATTAATTCTGCTATGATTGACTGGATATTCGTCATGGATAGAAAGCATGTGTGGTTTGATAAAATTATTTTATATTGAGTCAGGTTCGCTTTGTTTTGATAGAGTACGTGTACGTGAAGACTGTGTTTCACATTTTGAAATGTAGAGTAAGTTATTAATACATAAAAAATGGTTTTGAGCAAAAATAAATACTATTTGGCAAATTGTGTGAGTTTAGATCAAGCATATCAATGTATTTCAAGGTTCATTTTTTGTCATTATACGACATAGTGCACAACATAATGCAAGCCGTAGTCCCTTCATGCTACACAAGAACAAGACTATTTTAAATGTGAAATATGATATTTTTCGATCGCCAAATTTCTTGCAAACTCTAGGCTTGACTGTGGCTTGACAGAATGACATAAGTGAATAGCCTCTTAACACTCACAACACTATTCGATGTGTACAGTACATTGAGCAAGCAGAACTCTGTCCCCATCAGGCAACAAATGGCCGACGCCCTGCACCAATAATACACTGTAATGTGCAGGGGAGAGTAACACAAAAGCAAAGTACTCCACTCATACTGGTCAATCCTTAATGCTGACCATAGGTCTGGACAGAGAGGAAAGTACATCTCCAAGCAATCAACATAAACTGCAGCTCCCAGCACCTATACTGCCATGAGAACCAGAGACAGACAAAAAAAAGAAAACAACTCTGATCAAACTTCAGAGGGAAGGGAGAAAACCAATTGCAGCTAACAACAAGCCAATCCAAGATCATTAGCAACAGTGCTCACATAACTGGAAAAGGCATATCCACAGGGTTGTGGAGTACAAAAGAAAGAGCTTTTCTGTGGATCCTATCACAACGGAATACTCCACAAAGAACCAAAGATGAAAGCCAACCACTCCCCAAACTTCACATGGGATGAAACATTTGCTGACTTGTACACTTTGATAGCACAATGCAACAACTTCTCTCGGGCAAGAAAGAGATCATTGATTGGGCAGGTCGGTAAAAAACAGAGTGGCTCCACAAATCATTGTATGTGCCTAATATCCAGATACAATCTTGATTTCCCCCCATGCTAAATTCTTAAAAAAAAGGTAGGAGAAGAGGCAGCAGTGTAGTAGTTGCAGTGACCTTCTCAGTAGCCTCCTGTTTCTGGATAACATGCTAACAACCTTTTAGACCTTAGATACCCATATGGACCATCTTTTTTAGGGGGTGACAGGGGATCTTCAGGGGGATATAGCAGTTCTACAATACATGTCATACAGAAGTGATATACATTATCTGAAAGCTAGGATCTTGAAGATTAGATTCACTGTTTGTCAAGTTTTTCTGGCAATAAATCAGAACAAAAAAAGTTGCTTATAAGGGCTTAGAACATTATGATAGAAGTATATGGTGGGCTTTCCCATGCTCACTCTAGTTGTTGCAGCAATTGTCGGGGCCATTTGTTACACGGACTAGTGGTAAACTTAACTATTTTCAACCACTCGATATTGATTAAAAAAATGATTTAAAAAAAACTCCTTTCCTTCAGATAGCTTGAGATGAGAGTTCAAGGGGCATCTGTGAATATGGTCATTCCAGTTTTTCTTCCACCAAAATTTGTAGCGTTATTTATCCCCCTTACTGATAAATTACCATCTATAAACTACATATGTGGTGTGGGCGAACAAGATGTGTCAACACCTTTTCAACATCTGGCTAGAATGCATCCCGTGTCGACAACCACCGCCAAAGATGATTTGAGTCATCAAATTGCAATTTTCCTTCCAAATCCTTCCTGGTGTAAGTGGGTAACTCACAGCTGGTCAGGTTTCATGGGATGCAATAGGAGATTGCAGGCCAGGTACAATTAACCTCTTAACCATTTGTGCTACATACAGAATTGTTATCAATGTGCAAAATCTGTATCTGATAAATTATGCATGTTCATAGCAATTTTCAATCTGGCAATCTCCCTGATCATGCTTTGTGAAATATCCTCCAAATAAGATCCAGAGAGCGATTGCCAAGATGGGAAAATTGGAAAGTGAAGGTGGAGACTGCTAGACAATCTGTGCATGAGCTAACATTTTTTTAGAGAGTCCAGGTAGAAGATGGTGCTTCAGGAAACTAGGGCAATACATGCTGACAGGGTAGTAAGGAATGCTGCCACAAAGCACAATTACAATATGCAGGCTTGTGGACACAAGGAGTAGAGTAGATGAGCAGCTAAAGGGTTGAGCTGAGCAGACACACATGCTCCTGTGGAGTAGTAGATATGCAGGTGTGTTTCTCCATTGATGTACATGTGAATCAAGTTAACTAAGGTACTTTGGTCAGTGAACTACAGTCAGTTTTACTTTTTTGACAACCAGGCACTAGTGTGATGCGTTTCTCTTATTTGCTCCCGTTACCACTTCAACAAAGATCTGGGGTAGATCTCCAATCCAGACAGCCCTTAAGCCCAATGATTGGCCAGTAGGGACATGCTCCCTCTCCCCCATCGCTCACGCCTCACAGAAAAAAAAGTGCATTTCCTAGAAAATGATTTGGTGTGCTGCTGGATGTGGACAACCCACGCATCATATCCTTACAAAACCTACTGCTATTCCTCTCAGTGAAACGTCTTGGAAAATTGCTCTCCTCGTGTGCAGACTAGCCCACTGCCTGTGTTCTCAATAATGAGTTTAGACTCATGTGTCCTCTCCTTCAAAATAGGGCCTAATGTCCTTTTCCAAAAGATATCGTAAATGATATTAGGATCCTACCTTATAGATTTAAAAAGGGACGTCTTAGCGTTTATATGCCATCTTGAACCCACGTTTGGTATGTCAAGACTGAGATGTGTGCCTAGCTGTATTAAACCCTTTTCAAGCAAGGCATGGTTGGAAAGACAAGAGGATTACTTGCTGATTTCTTTACAATGACATTTGAATACTTTTTTTTTCCAGGTAGGGAAATATCTAATTTGACATTTAGCATTTCCAAATAAGTAAGATGAGTCACTTACAAGTGGTCAAAGTGTGTGTTTTTTAATATACCGTATATTTGAAATTAGGTGAGACCTCCCCGTCGTCATTGTGACCACCTGTATTTAATTCCAGTAGCTCAGACGAAGCACTTCTTGTCACTTCTCGTACACTACACAGATGATGTCTTCCACTTTGTGTCGCTTAGTTGGATCTGAATGGCATGGATCCATGTAATATCAAGCTATAATGTTGGCCCTCAGCTCATTTCATCAAAAGTTGTGAACACAGGGGTAAGGGTTATAATGTGATAGCCATTGCACAATATAAAAAGATCTACCAAGTTAAACAATATGGAAAAGAAAAGTATCTGCCCAAACACAATCCACTTGGCCTCCAACTGGAGCACTTCTCAAGAAATTTGGCAATGCATTCATTTCATGTATCCAGCACTAACCTTCTGACTGACCAATTAACACTCGCCTTTAACCTCACTCTAACTAATGGAGTTTCCTCCTCAGTTTAAGTGTTTCTCCCATTATCGTGTTTGTAGTATTAGCCTACTCTGTTGCACTTGAGGACACATTTTCACCCCTTATTACAGGCCGGCAGACAAAACGATTTTAACCAAAGACCTCAGAGAGGACATCTCTCAGTCCTTCACGGAGTTGTGAGGAGCTTGACCTGCATGCATTTCATTTTAGAGGCATCATCTGCTCAGAAGGCTGACACAAGATACCTTTCAATATCACAGAGTTAAATCCTCAACAGCAAATAAGACAAGCACAGGCAAAGCAGGAGTGTTCTAGATTACCACAAATATAAACTCCCTCCACCACTGGCTATGTGACTGGAAAGACTAATAATCCCCACATAAGTAAGCATGGATAATATGCTAAATTGCTCAGTGCATTTTGCATCTACTGTATATGACAGTGATCAAGGGGGTACTAAGTTATTCTGTCAAGAGTAGGTGACCTCATCATGGTTCATGTCTCATTTTCTGTGTCAATGTCTCACTGGACATAAGGATATGACCAATGACTCAGGCTACATATCTGATTGAAATGATTGGGAATGTTGCTGGTAATGAGCAAAATGTATTGGTGTGGCAGAGTCTGGTGTTGCCAATGTGTCGCATCTCAAAATTGTGCTAGTGTGAAACTGTGCTCTGAATTGATCTTGACTGAAACATAAAGCCAACAGAGTAAACTGAGAGCAATTATAACAAAACATGTAAAGAAAGATCGGAGGTGTATGGAGAGTGCCTCTTTTTAGAAGTGCTATGACAAAGAGTAATATTTCTATTTTAAATACAACAAATGATTAGATTGAAGATATTTTGTATTTGGGTGATGCTTTAACTTTTGTTATGAATTTACCCTAAGCAGATAAATACAAGCCTGTACAAAAGGTTAGATGCAAGTTTTTGTGAACCCCTCATGAGTATGCAAATAGATAAATGTTCACTCACAAATCTACATATTAATACATCTACATATTAATACATTTCACAGATGAGAAATTACATGTTAAGTCACATTTACTTGAAATTGAACTGTGACATTGTCCTCAAAGCAGTTTGGCAATTATCCAGGGCAGTCTTCAGAGGTCAAACTGAAATAATTGAGTTGAGAGTTCCTATATTTGCTGTATTTGCATTAGTTCCTCCCTCATTATAAACGTATGCAGGTCAAGCAAAATTGTACATCTAAATTGCCCATTAATGGCTATTGTCTGTCATCCTGAAATTAATGCATCGAAATAAATGGAAAGCAACTGCCACCTGGAGCGTCTAATGCGTCAACAATCTACAATGCTGTTCTTTGGCTAAAATGAGGCAGTTATAAAGACTATGTCATTTGGTTTTTCAGATTGTTTTTTATAAAAAGCGACTCACAAAGGGAACAACTCATAAACTGAACAAATTTACACATCTCTTAAGGTAGAATGGAGCTCAAACATGTGGCTTCGGGCTTATTTCCCATGATACGCTGGCCCATGAATGTATGCATTTATCAACAGGGAAACTATCCCTGCCCAAAACCATAAAATGTGTTCCATAGAAGCATCAAAAGTAAGCAAACATTGTTGAGCATGCATAGTCAAATTAAAGACAAATGTGACAATGTTATAAATCCTCTTTTTATCAAGGTCTGTAACACTGTGCCAAATAAACTTTTGTTTATTGTATGACTTTTTTGTCCTACCTCTGGTGTGGCTGGGGACCCTCCGGCGGCCCGTGGATGAGCTGTGAATGACGTGCTGGTAGTGAGACATGTCTGTTGGCGTGTTGGGAACACGGAAACTGTCCTGGAACCTCTGCATCAAATCCTCCACTGACTCTGTGTTTGGGTCAATGGCTACGAAAAAGAGATCCAAAGTGAAAATGGCAGGCATGTCAGAAGGCTTTAAAGTGAAAATCATTTTACAAATAGTGACCAACACACAAGATATAGAAAAACAAATACACACGCAGATGCATAAACGCAAACTCCCAAAAATAACTTTTTGTATTTTGTTTTTGTATTTGAAAGATGAGAGATTAGAGTATGACATGCATCATGAGTCAGTACGCTGTCCCATTCACTGTATAAAACTAAGCAGATTTATAAAGCATATATCTAGTTATTTTTTTCTATTCCATTTTCTTCTTGCCTTTTATTGATTCCATCAATTCAATATTGCCTCAACGCTCCCCCTGATGGCTCAGTATGGATGAGTGACTTCAAAACAACTGGCTGTAAGGAGGGAGGGAGGGAGGGAGGGGGAGGGAGGGAGGGGGGGGTAGTTTACCTTCAGTAGAAAATTGCCAAAGGAAAAGACAGGAAATTGGCAGACCTGTGACCTGTCTGGACATTGTCTGGCTAATTAATTTATGCCACCAAAGAGACTAATCATCAGTAGACAATATTGAGTCTGACACACAAACAGATCAAAACATGTGGATATCGTGATATTCAACTCCCATCCATAAGCCTCTCTTGATAGCTACCGCTTTGCTTTAAAGGGTTTTTTGAAGCGTTCATTTAACTAAAGTGGGGAAGTAAATCTGTATACAGTAAGGTGTAGTGACTTGTCTGCACTGTATGGGGGCTACAAGTAGCATGTACTGAAAGTGTATGGTTCGAAAACTGTGGCCCAAAGCAAACAATGGATGAAAAAAACCAGCTCTGCCCCCAAACTTAGTAGAAGTATACCCATCTCCAAAGAATGCGGCCATTTATCACCCGAACCACCGCTATCCCCACCTATCATCAACATCTTTTGATCCGTCAGTCTTGCTCTGAGGTGTACTCCATCCATGAATAATGGTGATGTGTTGCTCCCAGTGGATGCTCATCGTGCATCCAAATGAGCGTGCGAGAGCAGAGCGGGAGGGAGATGAAGAGGACGAGGGTGAAAGTGAAGAGGCAGGAGTATATTCACATTGTTTTTGATATTACAAATGGAAAGCTAACAATAACAGAGGCATTACAGTGCGCCTCAGAACAAATATTATCCGAGCAATGATACATAGTTCTTGGGAATAATTTGTGGTTCGCTCACTCTATAATGGTGATGTCGAACAGGGAACTGCTGTAGGCATGACTGCGGTAATAGGCTCAGGTAACCAGGTGCAAGAGATTATGCAAAGTGACCATGACCTCATTTGAGAGACAGATGTTGGCTTCTGCCCTCTGGTCAAAGATGTGTTTGCATCAATTAATATTAATGAAATACTTAAAAGATGTTTGGTCCTTGAATATACCTCCAACAAAAGGGCAAATCCTGATCTCTTTTCTTTAAACCGTCATATCCTCAGTCCGAGACTTGGCTTTAAAAACAAAACCACCTAGATGTATATTTTAGTTCTTCCGTTAGGTTGTTGTTTGTCATCCATTTATCCTCGAATGTAAAGAAAACAACAGCAGAGCTTATGCAGCACGCTAACACACACTCTTCAATTAGCAGTGGACAGAACACATGGTAAATAGGCATTTTGGTCATTGTTAATGTTGTATTTGGATAAAATACCTACTGTAATACATCTAGTGTACATGAGTTGTTGACTAGGAGCCCAGCCTCTGGCCAGAGGCGTCTCATCGAAACACCTATTAATACATGATGGAAGAGGGAGTCAGGAAGCCGAACAATGTTGTTATTTAATTTTTTTTTTCCTCTCGACATCAAGACTTCTCCACAGCCAACGGGCTGGACATGTACTTTCTGGAGATATTTCCATTATAACAGTGTGTTACATTTTTTGAATCGCAGTGTTATCACTATTCAAGGTGCCCTGAAGACAGACAAAATGCTTAATGGGAGTCAAGCACACTCAAGCAGTTGAATCAATGGTTTATTGAGCAACTGAGCATCAACTCTGCAAACCACTACAATCAATCGTGTACCAAATGCAGTGCAATGAAAACAGCAGTAGCTTAGGATGATAATTGCTGCAAGTTTGAGTGAGTTTTGAGAGCAAGATCAAACATATTTGAGATAGCTATATGCTATATGTATGTCAGCAATGGTGAAACTTTACTATTGCACCTGCTTATTCTTAAGCACAATGTTGAAAAGTTAAGACATAGGCTTAGATTAAACATCCAACAGTTAGTAACTGACGTATGTATTCACACAGAATCTGACACTACTACTGTACCAATCTGATGTAGGGACTGTATAATATAATGACATCTTAACTCCACCCACACAAACACGCTTTACGCCTCTGGCCTGATGTGCTATCGTGGCTGGTGGGATCCCATCGAAAAAGTTTACTTTGTATTAGTGTGCTTTTTGCGCATTTGACTAACTTTAATGATGATAACTGATTAATGTATTACCCAGCTGCCTTCATTCAATCATAAACTGCAAATATATCCAAATTGTGTACTTTAAGCTAACTAACTGCTTTGATACACTAACATTTTGTTGTTGTTCTGAACACTGAAGTCAGTTGTACTTAGCATTGATAGTAAAAATGCAATAAATGACAACAAAGATTCGACTGAATATGAGAGAAGAAAAAAAAGCTGCACACTGGCTGCTGATGCAGCAACTATAGCTGTTGCCTCGGGCTATGTTGATGTAAACTGAAGCAAGTGTGCAACCAAAACTTGCCTGTGACTGGGATCTGCTTTGTGCTGAAGAAATGCTTTTGAACACATGACACGGATACTAAAACAAGAATTCCCTACATTTTCTGGCTCCCACTTGCAAAGGATTTCCCATCCTCACTGTTTTCTTCAAAACCAACCAAGCCCAAGTCAGTTCTTCACACCACTGTAAGATCCACATAAGTGCATGCTCCCACCACAACCCTCCCTCCTTTGACACGGTTTGCTTTTACAAGTTAAATATGTACAAAGGACTGGTATGCATTTCTTCGGTCATGAGACATTACATGTAGTTTGTGTCCCGTAATAAGCACTTGAAGCATATTTGGTGAATTAGAAAGACATACCGTGTTGGGTTGTTTGTGCCGAGCTGCACTAGAAAATAATCCCAAATAGTTTGATCCCAGAAAATATCCTACATATTTTGACAACCGTGTGTGACTGCAGTAGGAGCTGTGTCCGCATTCTCGGCAATAAATCAGACACGTTCCCGGTGGGTGTTGGCCTCCGCCAGGGCTGCCCTTTGTCACCGGTCCTGTTCGTGATTTTCATGGACAGGATATCTAGGCGCAGCCTGGGGGCGGAGAACATCAGTTTCGAGGGTCTCGGGATCGCCTCTCTGCTGTTTGCAGATGATGTGGTCCTGTTAGCCTCCTCGGATCGTGACCTCCAGCATTCACTGGGGCGGTTTGCAGCCGAGTGTGAAGCGGCGGGGATGAGAGTTAGCACCTCCAAATCTGAGGCCATGGTGCTCTGCCGGAAACCGGCGGATTGCTCCCTCTAGGTGGGGACGGAGTGCCTACCTCAAGCGAAGGAGTTCAAGTATCTCGGGGTCTTGTTCACGAGTGAGGGTAAGATGGAGCGGGAGATCGACAGACGGATCGGTGCGGCTGCAGCAGTAAAGCAGGCGCTGCACCGGACCGTCTTGGTGAAGAGGGAGCTGAGCCGGAAGGCAAAGCTCTCAATTTACCACTCGGTCTACGTTCCTACCCTCACCTATGGTCACGAACTCTGGGTCGTGACCGAAAGGACAAGGTCGCGGCTACAAGCGGCCGAAATGAGTTTCCTCCGTAGGGTGGCCGGGCTCAGCCTTAGAGATAGGGTAAGGAGCTCGGTCATCAGGAGGGAGCTTGGAGTCGAGCCGCTACTCCTTCGCGTCGAAAGGAGTCAGCTGAGGTGGTTCGGGCATCTAATTAGGATGCCTCCTGGACGCCTCCCACTGGAGGTTTTCCAGGCACGTCCAACTGGGAAGAGACCCCGGGGAAGACCCAGAACACGCTGGAGGGATTACATCTCCCAGCTGGCCTGGGAACGCCTCGGGATCCCCCAGAATGAGCTGGAACATGTTGCCGGTGAGAGGGAAGTCTGGGTCGGCCTGCTTGGCCTGCTGCCACCGCGACCCGACCCCGGATAAGCGGTGGAAAATGGATGGATGCATGGTGTTTGTTTCGGTCCATGGTATGGTATAATGTAAGATGGAGAATAACTCCAGGCCTTTATATTGGGGGTCAGGAAACCTTTTTCTTATAAAGCGTGTCTAGTAAAAAGCCTCCTCTCCTCCGCTCTTCATGTGCATACATGTAGTGTGAATATGCGTGGAGTAGGTTTCTCTGTTAAGCACAGCCACATGTGTCTTCAAAAGTGAATGAGGGTACGGGCTTACACACATCCACCCTACACAACATTCACCTGACCACATGTATTTTTGCTTTTTAAGATCCAACAGCCCTTCACTTCAGCTGTAGTGTCAATACACTAAGCTACAACCATAAAGGGAAAGTGAACAGACAACTAAAAAAAAATGTAAGGGAGCTCCATTCCCTGTGGGCATTTATGGTAGTGCTTGGCTTATTCAGGTACTTGGAGTTAGCGAACAAACGAGAGTCAAAGCAGGTGGCACTTAAGCTTTGACCCGCCATGACTGAGGAGAGTGTGTGACAGCATGCTTGAGGTTAACTGCTTGCATACATATTTCATGGAATCCTGGAACTCTCCTTATCTGTCTTTCTTTGTTCCATTTTGGGGAAAGAAGAGATACTAGGCCAAGCAGAAGTGCCTCGAGCCACAGTCCCCTTGAAAATAATGTAATTTGTCTCTAAAGGTTGTCACGACCCTTTTTGCTGAAGTTTAGCCCATGTTTTTAACTTTGTCATTGCCATTAACACACACACACACACACACACACACACATACACCTCAAATCTCAACCAACCTAAAATACAAAAACATCATGATGGAAATGTTCTTGCACCATCAAGTGC